CTTAATCTCTCTGAAATTCAGTTTTCTTAGATGCAAGTGGAGACGGTGACTACATTTTTCAAGAGATGTTTGTGTAAAATGCTTGACAAGTAACAAATCCTCAGTAAATGTTAGCTTTTTCACTACCACCACCCCCTATATTCCCTCGACACCTTCTTACTCACTCATCCCACTTCATCTCAGAAACCTCACTTCTTTTATAAATTTTTGTGAGTATTTAAATTTGTCAAGTCATCTGCTTTGTAGATGTTCAATATTTGTCTTTGTCATTCTGACTTGCTTTTCTAAACATAATTCCTTCAGGCTTCTTCAATTTGGCAGAAGATGGCCACATTTGTCTTTCCTTAATGCTGACTCGTACCCCACTATGTGGCTAAACCACATCTTTTTGATCCAGTCTTCTAGTGACGGGCCTTTAGGCTGCTCCCATGGCCTAGCTACTATAAATAGTGCTACAGTAAGCACTGTAGAGGATATACTTTTTTGAGATGATGCTTTTATGTTGTTTTGGATCAAAGCCTAGAAGTAGGATTGCTGTGTCATATAGTATTTCCATTTTTAATTTTTAAAAAGACAAATCCAGATCACTTTCCAAAATAGGTGCAAACCTATTACACCAATTTACATTCTCACCAGCAGTGTATTAAGGACCCTCTTTCTCCACATCCTCTCCAATACTTGTTGTTGTTCTTAATATATGCCATTTTCATGGTGTGGGATTTTTTTTTAAAGATTTATTTATTTATTTATACAAGAACCGGGGTACAGGCCAGATGCATGGGAGGGTGAGAGGATTCACCAGAGACAGAGCGGGCAATAAAACAGGCAGACTGACGAAGTACACTGCTGAGGGGAGCAGCGGGCGAGACAGGAGAGGTCTGCCGCACCATGTGGGACCCTCGCTGGCAGGCCGGGATTGAACTGGCGCTACGGAGACTGTGGACAGCTTCACAGCGCGGTGCTCAACCCTGCGCCACCAGGGGAGGCCTGGTGTGGGATATTTTATTGTGGTTTTGATGGGCATTTCCTGATTAAAAGCAATGATGAATACATTTCCATGTGTCTATTGGCTTTCTGGATATTCTGTTCAGTGAATTGTCTGTTCAGATAGGCAACTCACTTGTTAATTGGGTTGCTTTTATTTAACTGTTGAATTATATAAGTTTTTTGTATGTCGTGGATATTATCCCTTTATCTATTAGATGATGTAAATGTAAACATTTTTTCCCTTTGAGTTGCATGTCTTTTTAATCTATTTATATTTCCTTTCACTGTGTAAAAACCTTTTAATTCATGGTAGTCCCAGTTGTTTATTTTTGCTTTTATTTCTCTTGCCAGAGGGGTCGAGTCTCCAAAAACATCTTTATCATTGATCTCATGGAACATAGGAGCAATGTTTCCTTCTAAATGTTAGTTTTGTTTTCATGGTTTGCCTTGATTCAGTTTCCCTCTATGGAAAAGTCCAGGCTGGGACAGTTTTTGGAAAATGGTTGCAATTTGTATGAGTGTGAGTGTGAGCATGGCTTGTACTGGTTGTCCAATGTTACTTTTTTTTTTTTAAAGATTTATTTATTTTTATACAAGAACTGTAGCCAGATGTGCGGGAGGGTGAGAGGATTCACTGGAGACAGAGCGGGGCACAGAACAGGCAGACTGACAAAACACACTGCTAAGGGGAGCAACGGGCGAGTCAGGAGAGGTCTGCTCACCATATGGGATTCTCACCTGCCAGCCGGGATTGAAGCGTGTTGCAGAGGCTGAGGACAGCTTCACAGTGCAGCACTCAACTGCCTGCGCTACCAAGGCCCCCAATGTTACTTTCGATTACCAGCTCTGACAGGTGAGGATTTTCTTTCTGAGTTGCTTAGACAATATCCCCAGACCCCAGGAAAAGCCTACATTGTTAGCCTCTTTTTGTGTCACCACTCCCAAAAGAGAGCTGTTCTTTTTCTCCCACCAAGGTCAGCTTAGTGCCCTGAATGCATAACCAGATAGACTGGATGAATCTCGGAAACTGGACGAAGAACTATTATCCCAGCATGCTCCAATCATTTCACCTCCCCAAACTGGATCATGTAAAATGGCAAGATTTCCCACCGTCTTCTGTTATTTCAGGATATTCTCCAGTAATCCCTTACCTTTGAGTACAAAATCCAGACACTTAAAGGGATATTCATGGATTCCTGAGTCGCCCTCTTGCTGATCTCTGCTCTTGATGCCATGCCGGCAATAGTGACACAAGGACACCAATGTGTCTGAGGCTGTTATTTTTCCCAGGCAGCTCTTTTACCTGCTCCTCATGAACACAGGTCCTCAATCTTTACCACACAGACCATCTAAGTTCTCCATTCTAAGACAGGATCTACAAATTGCTGTTGGCTCAAGAGCTCAAACTTATGTTCTATCACATCATTCAATTTTAAGCTCCTGGACAGCTAAGACACTAAAGTACTGTGTTGAGAACAAGCTAAGCATTTGACCAGTGTTTGTGGGATGAGTGAAAAACTGGTTTTGAAGGCTGTCATGATCTGGCTTCCATACTGGGACTCGTGGGTTGTGGTTTCAATCTGGTTATACATACACTGTTGTATCTGACTTTTATAGTAATTCAAGGACCTGGACAACAAGGCTGTCCCCATTTTAGTAAGCAAAAGCTCAAATGCCATGCAACCTGCCTCATGATCCTGCTCCTGCCAAACTCCCAAGGCTTATTGTAACCCTCACTTGCTGCACACATGTGGGTGCATACTTGTGCAGCATGCTGAGGTTTCTTTTGCTCCTGCCTGAGTCACTCCTTTGTTTGTGTCTTCAGATGCCAATTGAAATACTCATGGGACATGTTTTCTGGCATCTTTGCTTGGCTGGTAATAGGAATCCTGCTCACTCTGTTCATGGCAGAGGATGAAAAAACACACACTTAACACAGTCAAGCTGCTATAACACAGTGCCACAGATGGCCAGGCTTAAAGACAACAGAAATTTGCTTCTCATAGACTAGGGACTAGAAAAAAGTCCAAGACGAGGGACTAATGTGGTGAAGTTCTTGGAGGATCCTCTTCTGGTAGGAGGGCAGCTGGCCTCCTTGTACCTTCACATGCTACGAAGAAAGATAGGAAGCAGCATCTTGTGGCTCTTTTAGGCCAGTAATCCCATTCACAAGGGCTCCACCTTCATGACTGCACCCAAACCTGAGCTCCCACAGACCCACCTCCAGACACCATCACACATGCAACTTTCACAAACTCTCAGTCCATAACAACTCATTCTATCTACCACAGACAAATCTGGAAGCAAGATGTTGACATCTGTATATTCTCTGTTGTTAAAAACTACATGAAAAAAGCTACTGAGTTTCCCAAGCATCCCATTCTCCCTGGGATAGTAAATAGGGTAGGGCAAGGAAGCCAGTGCCTATTGAGTGTTACAATGTGCCAGGCACTAAGCTGTGCTCCTGAAGCTCACTGTTCTCATGAACCACACTCTTCCATCTCCTAAGACATCCCTCAAGCCTCATTTCCACCCCATGCACTGCCCTCGACATCCTTCCCTATCACATTGTTTGTTCCCCTATCTCCTTCAGACACCACCTCCTTGAAGCCACACTGCAGATGTCAGTGACCAGCCCTGCCCTCTCTCCAGACCTTCCAAAATGGGAACGTCCAGTCACAAGCACTACTGTGCCATTCAACAGTTCTCACCTCCATGCTTTTATACAAATATTTCCCTCTGCCCCAAATGACTTTTGAAAGGGTGACCTCCATGAGAACCCTAACCTCATCTACTCTTCAAAAGAGAATTTTTGTTCCAACCTCTGGCGCTCCTCCACATTCCCGGAGTTATAAGCGAAGACAGGGACACTTCAGTTTTGATTCCAGTTTCCGTTGCTAAGATGTGTCTAAATGTGATGGTGTCAACACTGGCCGTGTGAGGTCACGAGATTGGTTGAGGTTCATGAACGAGCACAACTGAGACCATATGTGACAATTCTTGTGATTCTGGAAGAATTATTTCTACAAGGTGACTAGTGTATTCTACCTTGTAAATCTGGTTTATGAATGGACATGGGACGTTATGCTCAAGCATTCTCTCTCTCTCTCTCTCTCTCTCTCTCTCTCTCTCTCTCTCTCTCTCAATCTCTCTGCCTCTCTCTCCATATATATATTTTTTGGTTTCCTGCTAAGAAATGTGGTGAACTCAGCGGCACCTTCCTCATCATAAACTCCCCTTTCATGAAACCTTACCCCTGGAGATTGACTTTTGTGTATCTTGTTGATAGCCTTGAGGATATCAACCCAGAAAAATGAAAATTGTTGAGAAGTGTGAGTTTTAAAATCAGCATTTTACAGGGATGGAGGAATAGAACACAAATACTTCCTGATACGCATATTATTTGCTACACAGCAAAACAAATTTGCAAACATATCCTTGAAATCAGAGGAAATAGATCCCCTGAAGAGTTTCTAGATCAAGGGATGGGGACTTGAAATGCTTTGTAGATGACTCTTATTTAAGTCAAATTGGTGGTGTTTTTTTTTTTTTTGGTGGGGGGAGGGCAGTCAGTCAAGAGTGTCCATTCCAGATTCATTCAAAATCCTGGCCCTGCCACTTACTATGTGATTTTAGTACAAACTCCTCAGCTATATAATGGGAATAAATGATAAACTCTGCCTATAAGGGTTGTTAGCCACATGAGGCAGACAGACACCCTATAAATACCATTATGAGAGTTATTCCACTATTGTTATCATCATGTTATGAGGCCTTTAGTAGTTCTTTGACTTAGTGGTTTTACTTGCTTGCTAGTGGGAACCTAAATGTCTTTTTAAAATCTTGTCTCATCTAGAGCCCTTTTTTTCTATGCAGTTTTACTGCATCATCTGAAGATTCTTCTGACATGCTTATTACATTTTTTAAATGCCTAAACCTTGCATTTTACCGTAGGGCTGCTCTTGCAAAGCTATTGATATGGAATAACTAGAGACAGGCAAGGTTATGCTATGCTGAATACTTTATTTATATTTTTTATGTAAACATAATTTGCTTTGTAGGCACAATATAACAAAAGCTCTAAAGCCACAAATACATTAGACAATGTTCCAGTTCACCCCAATCAAGCTTAAATTACAGAGAAGCCTTCACAGTTCCTTTAAGGCAAACTGAGGCCTTTCTTTTCTTTATACTTCCTCCAGGAAAACAACCACATGATGGGAAAGAAAGTGCTAGAAATGAGAGTGCATTAAATGGTTAATTTTGATATTCTATTTTTTTTCCTATTTTTTATGGCATAGATGGATCTCATTGGCCAAACTCTAGTTTTTCTCCTGTATTCTGAGGAGACCAAAGGGTTTTCTTTCACCAGGTGGCATCATTGGTGATTTTAGCATCAGTTTGGCTGGTTGAAAAACCAGATTTGGGGAGAAAATGACTTTTCATGCACCTCTTCTAGACATAAGAAAGCCCATTTGGGTTCTGAACATAGAATTCCCACTTGCTGGTTGGGGAGAGCCCTGACATGGCCCGTTTGCTTCCCAGCTCTAGAAAATGCCATTTGTGTCCCACCCACCAGGACTGTCACTTGAGTATTAGTTCTTAAGACTCCACTGTTCCTGGTTATGGGAAGATTATCATCACCAGTAATAACAGCAGAAGTATGTGTGTGCATGTGGGGTGGGGGGAGCATAAAAAACCCCTGTGTTATCTCTAAATGGCCTAGAACTGGAATGTTAGCGAGTCCTGGAGTAGGAAAAGAAGATGATGTTGGTGTCTCTTTTAAGATACACTCATCTCCTTGCTCATCTGATGGCAGCATCCTGTCTCATCTTCATATTTTACATGTACATTCACAATGAGGAGAAACTCCCTTCATATATATAGATATATGTGTGGCATAAATAATTCATCATCACAAGCTCAGGATAGGAGAAAAGAACATGATTAAGGAGGTGACATTTGTTAAAAGGGACTCTGGAAATTGGTCAGGTCATTGCTGAAAGGCATTCATTCCCATCACTTGGGGGAGGAGCTGGGTCTACGCTAAGGCTCATTGGTGGAGAGATTGGGCCATGTGGACCCTCTGATGTCTTTCAGAATATAAAGTGAGTTGGGGTGCTGATCATTTGTGTCCCTCTAGTCTCCAGCTTGGTTTGTGAGTGATGGGGTCAACCCTTTGGGCCAACAGGACTGGGGGAGAGAATGAGGAGCCCCCTTGTGGAGCCCTGGGGTCTCCGCCATCTCCTGCAGGGAACTCTTTCTAAGCCAGGTCAAGTAGGGTGGGGGTGGGGTGAGGCTTCTCAGGAGTTCAGGAGCTAGAAAAGTTGGACAAAGGTGTTCAGTCAAGTAGTCTGATCCCTGATTTCCAAAGAGCAGGGACCCTGCAAAGAATCTGTACCATCATGTTGTGTTTCATTTGGCATCAGATACAGGACATCAACCCTTGTATCACTAGAGCTTGTCACCTGGTAGAACATGCTTTGGCAAGAAAAAAGATACTCATTGATTTTTTTTCCCCACTGTGGTCTCCAAGGAGGTCTTCCTTAGGGCAATCCACAGGAAAATGAGCCCCTTAGGCCCAGGCCATGAAAATAACAAAATTGGTGGATCCAAAGGCAAGTGTGCAAACATAGGTGCATCTCAGTCATGACTTCTGAAATTGCCCCACACATGGAGTTTTCTTAAATACATATGGCATGGGGTGTGGGGGTTTCTCATGAGACATGGTGTCAGAGAAAACTCATGCTGACCCATCTTCTAGCCTCAAAACTCCACATCCTTTCCCCATGTTTATGAATGAGAATCAGTGAAAGGCTCAAACATCAGAGAGGCAAAGGGGAGTGGTTTGACCTTTTGACAGGAGAACAGCGGCCTCTTAAATGGGGCGAGGGGAAGTACTACTTGGAGAGATCCAAAATGTGTAGGAAAACATCTCCTGGCTTACCCTCCTCTGCCAGCCCAATTGGCAAGCTCTCCTGTCAAGTATGGGTGGCTGGCAGCAAAAAGTGTCCCTGGCTGGAAGAATTCTAGGACCTGTTCAGAGCGACCTCACCTCTCAATCCAAACTGGTTTTCGCCCATGAATGGTCTCATAGGTTTTGGACCTGTGGGTTTGCATTAATTTGCAAGGATGTTCTAGAACTGTTGGGGAGGACCCAAAAAGGGATGTTTTTGAAATAGGGGAGGAGGAACCACAGAACGGGGAGAAACATAATACTGCATGGAATGGGATTGGCACTTAATTTCAAAAAACAACAGTGATCAACAGCTTTGTAGCTCAGCTGACTGCAGACAAACACGACACACACTGGACTACAGCATCTGTTCATGGGGGCACAGGAGAGCTTCCTCAGCCGGCCGCTCTTCTTCCCAGCTATCCTTTACATTCTCCTGCCGGGCCAGGGCTTACTGGATGAAGGGTATCCGCTCCTTGTTCTCGCTGTCACCCTCATGGTCTTCCTCCTCTTCTCCCGCCTCACTGGTCTCTGTGCTGTCGTTGGCCATCTGTAATCCAACAGAGGGCTTGTTAGTGGCTCTGCAGCCCACCCCCACCTTCCCGAGCATCTGATGAATCCCCTTGGAAGGACTTTTTTTTTTGAAAGTTTTTTCCATGAATTGTTTGTAATACAAAGCATCAGAATAAGTAACATCTTTTGCACTTATAATCAGATCTATTCTTTAAATATTTTTTAACCGGATGCATTTTCATTTTCTCCCAGTTTCCAACCCTTATATTGTTTTTGGTCTTTCCTTTCTTTTAACCTCAGATGGCAGTAACCTAAATGCCCATTGATAGATTTATCAAAAAGATGTGGTATGGGCCTCCCCAGTGGTGCAGCGGTTGAGCGCTGGGCTGCGAAGCTGCCTGCAGCCTCTGCAGCGCCGGTTCAATCCCCGGCCACGGGTGAGGGTCCCACATGGCGCGCAGACCTCTCCTGCCACCTGCTGCTCCCCTCAGCAGTGTACTTCGGTCCTTCTGCCTGCTCTGCTCCCCGCTCTGGCTCTGGTGAATTCTCTCACCCTCCTGCACTTCTGACTGTACACAGTGCTTGTATAAATAAATAAACAAACAAATAAATAAAATAAATCTTAAAAAAAAAAAGATGTGGTCTATCCACACTATGGAGCGCTATCCAGCCACAAGGAAAGACAAAATGATGCCATTTACAGCAAAATAGAAGGAGTTTGGGTGAGTTACATGTAATCAAGCTAGAGAGAACAACAAAGACAAATATTTGAGATTTACAAAGTGGGTGATTTGACAAAGTAAAATGCTTATAAAAATTAATGCATGGACTTTTTTGAGGGCTGAATGCTTCCCCAGAACTAGCATGGTGCTAGTTCTCTTAGGCTGGACTCTGTTCAGAAGCAGGCTGTGAGGTAAGGATTCATGTGCAGGCACTGGTCAGAGTGAGGAGATGAGACAAAAAAAGCAAGGAAGCCAGCACAGGATGTTTGAATAAAGAGGCACCTGCAGTGGGCAACTAGGACTTCTCCCCATTCCATATAAGGTGAAGAAACCAGAAATAGTTAAGGAGGGTGGGCTCCCTGGCAGGCCTGTGGCCAGAGGAGGCTAGTAGCAGAACAGGGCACTGGTGCGGGAACCATGGAGGCTGGGGAGGCGCCAATGAGAGCAACCAGCACACAGACCAACTAGGGTTTAATCCTGACACTGTGGTTGGCTGAGAAGTGAAATGACAATATTAACAAATGTGTATTTAGCTACTTCATTGTCTGTATTTCCCCCACTGGATGTCATTTCTGTGATGTGAACTCTGGTATCTATCTACCTACCTACCTACCTATCACTCAGTCATCCATCCATCCATCCATCCATCTATGTCTACCTACCTACCTATTACTTACCTATCTACCTACCTACCTTATCATTGCCTGGCACGATTACTGGACCTTGCTGTGCCTCCATTGTTACATGGGGATAAACCCAGCTGCTTGATAAGGCTTGAGAACCAGGTGAGGCAACATGAAATGATGTACAGTGTATCCTCAGACAGTGTCATTTCCTTCAATGTTGTTTCACCATCATGTTGATGAGAAAATAAAAACAACCCACCCCAGCCTGGGGCCACTGTCTGTGTAGGATATATAGTCTGTATTGTCCACCCACCCTCAGCACCCCTCCAGGACAAGAGCGTGTGGGATATGAGATTGCCATGCTTTGCTCCCGATGAGATCCTTGGATGAAGGGTTTATCCTGATTTTAAAAATCAAAACAAAACCAATGGAATCGTCTGGAGGCATCTGGGAGGCAGCTGAGGATGTGAGTGTGAATTTATTAGAATTTTCCAGGCATCCCTCCTTGTGGCAGCCAAGAGCGACTGATGGTAATAGACACAGGTCAATAGTTCTATCCTTTCCTGGATGCCCTCGATTGCTCTTGAAATGTGTTTACCAAAGCATTTCCCCCGCTTTTCACATCTATCTCAGTAGAGACTAATCCCGCATTTGATCAACTTTGATGATCGCTGCTTGTAATTCTCTCTATGGCACCTGCGCTCCCACCGCTTGTGTTGATGTATAGATCTTTCTGCTTTTGACTCACCAGTGGAGTTGGGGTCTTTTCTACATCCAGAATCAATTTGCCAATGTTCCCTCGGTCGTGAATCCGCTGCATGGCCTCTTTCACCTGAAAGACAAGGAGGGAAAAAGAGAGCTCTGGTTAGGTGCCAGGTTGCCTGGGTTAAAAAGAAACTGGGAAAAGACAGCGCATCAGATGCCCACCAGGAGGCGATGTGGTTCAAGCTTGGTGGTTCGGCCAACATTGATTTCAGACACTGGGTGCTTCCAATACCTTTTGGTTGTGTCCCTCACACACTGTGATCTTGTATAAGTAACTTGGTCTCCTGGGTGTCCTAAAAAATGAGGGTGGTAGCTCCTGAAATTACTTACCTAAATGTTATATAACTCTGACTCACAGTTTGGTTAAAATGGCCCATTATCCAGGGCTGAAATACATTCAGGAAAATTCCCATGCTACCTGGTTATTGGCTGGGAATTTTGTCTCACCTAATTTGAAATTTCCCCAGAACGTGTATGCTCACAGGAAAAGAGTTTCCTTTCAAATGATAGGGCTTATCAGATCAGCAGATGTCTCCTAGGACTCTAAAAAGGGAGGGTGCAGGTAAATATGATTCAGGCTTGGAGCATTTCCTTCTGCTGCTGTGTGGAAAATGAACTGTAGGGGCACAGGCAAGATTGAAAGCGGAAAGAGCAGGCGACAGCCTGGTGCCTGGCGCCAGTAAGTGGACCACATCTCTTAGTGAAATCTAAATGGAAATGCAGCATCTCTTGATTAAAAAAAGAGACAGAGAGCCCAAAAATTTTTTTCTCAGACGTCTCAGATTTTAAAATATTTTAGTTCATTCCGCCAAAGAATAATCATTAAATGTCGCTTAAAGGCCTGGGTTTAATTGTTTTTTAAAGATTTATTTTATTTATGCATCCAAGAACTGGGATATGGGCCAGAGGTGTTGGTGGGGGTGGGGGTGAGAGGATTCATCAGAGACAGAGTGGGGAGCAGAACAAGTGGATTTATGAAATACACTGCTGAGGGGAGCAGGGGGCTAGACAGGAGAGGTCTGCTGCGCCATGTGGGTTAGCTCGCTGGCTGGGGGATCGAACTCCTGCTTCAGTGGCTTCATTGTGTTGAGTCTTAACCCCTTAAGCCACCAGGGAGGCCCGGTTTAATTTTTTTTGTTTAAATTAATGTAGGTGTCTGCCTTTAAGGAATTCAATTTGGAGCTGATGGAGCAGTGTTTGCTTACAGAAAGTCCACAGTCATCTCTTCATTTGGATAGAAAATTGACAGTCATTAAAATCTCCAGATTCCAATTGCTTTTCTGGGATTCATCCTAAAAACATTATTCAAATGATGGGGGAAAAAACTTGCCACACAAAATCTACTCAGTCACAGCACTGCTTTCAATGTCATCACTGAAGCAATTTATGTCACATTTATCTACTGAATGGAAATGCTATGTTGTAGTTAAATGTAGCTAATTATAAAAAATGGACAGCAGGATCAGATGCCTTTATAATATAGTTAAATGGTTAAGTAGAGATACATCTGTTTACAGGGCCAGAAAAACTGAACATACTCTAATCACTAGAAATCATTCAAATGAAAGGTAAAGTATCATATGGGAGAAGTGAATGCCTTCTAACACTACTGTCCAAATGTGGTTACATGTTATCAAATCAGTATTTAATATAAATTAAATGTGTCTTTTTAAAAAAGATTTGTTTATACAAAAACTGGGGTACAGGCCAGATGCGCGGAAGGGTGAGAGATTTCACCAGAGACAGAGTGGGGAGCAGAACATGCAGATGGACCAAAAACACTGCTGAGGGGAGCAGTGGGTAAGACAGGAGAGGTCTGCCCTGCCATGCGGGTATCTCCCTGGCTGTCCAGGAATCAAACCCGCACTGCAGAGGCTGTGGACAGCTTCACAATGCTGCTCTCAACCCACTGGGGAGGCCCTAAATGTGTCTTTAAATGCAGTCTTTGGATAGGCTAACATTGGTTAGAATTAACCTGTTTTATAGACTTCCTATGTCAATTTCCAGTAGATTTATTTCTATGGTGAACATTGCTTTTCAATGTGCTTTCATATTTGAGCATAATAACAGCTACTTTTTTTGAGTATTTCCATACAGGGTGGTAGACAGCTTCCAAAATAGCATCCCCCCCTGCTTTTCTTGTGGCCCTGTGTACCCCCTTCCTCTTGAATAAGGACTCCACAGACAACCTGCTACAAATCAAGGAGAACAGGACAAAAGTGATGGCTTATCGCTTCCAAGATTAGGTTATAAAGGACTGAACTTCTGTATTGCAGTCTTTCTTTGACTTCCAGCCTTTTGCTCTGGCTGTACAAGTTGCCCCCTGTGAGCTGCCCCTTGGGGAGGGCCGTGTGGCAGAGAATTGAGGAAGTACTCTGGCCAGTGAGGAATTCATGCCCTGGTCCCAAAGCCCATAAGGAACTGATCCTCCATCAGTCCATGACAGAGCTTGAGCTGAGACCACAGCTTCAGCTGCAGATACCCTGGTCATGGCCTGTGAGTGATCCCCAGCCCAAGGACCCGGCTGAGCCATGCCCAGGGTCCTCACCCGCAGGACCTGTGGCAACACAATTTTTTTTAAAAGATTTATTTATTTATTTATACAAGCATTGGGTACAGTCAGAAGCGCGGGAGGGTGAGAGAATTCACCAGAGCAAGAGCGGAGAACAAAACAGGCAGACTGACGAAGTACACTGCTGAGGGGAGCAGCGGGCGCGGCAGGAGAGGTCTGTCGCGCCATGTGGGACCCTTGCCGTGGCCGGGATTCGAGCTGGCGCTGCAGAGGCTGCAGGCAGCCTTGCAGCCCAGTGCTCAACCACTGCGCCACCAGGGAAGGCCCAACACAAATGTTGTTTTAAGCTAATACGCTTTGGGGGAAAATTTTACCACAGCAGTAGATAACTAGTACACCCTTACCTTGCAAAATAGACCAGAGACATTCTGTAGGGGAGGAGGGAGAGGGATCAGGACAGGAGTGGGAAGAGCAAAGGGACTATGGTGATAGTGCATGGGTGAATTGGTGGTGGGAATTTCACAGGAAATCATACACTGTACAAAAATGAAGGATGATGTTTTATATATATATATATGATTTATATTTATATATATAGTTTTATACACACACACACACACACACACACACACACACGATACCCATTTTACAGATAAGCACCTGGACACTCCCAGATACAAACAATCTGTGAAAGGTTGCATGGCTACAAGTTATAGGACTGTGCTTCCCACTCAGGGTTTTGGCTTCAAAACCAATGCTTTCCCCCAGTTTTGTCCACATCATGCGGCTTGGGGTGATTCTGAAAGGCAGAGGAGGGGAGTAGGTAACATCTCACAGAATGGCTTCCCAGAATTCAGTTCTTTATTATCCTGGCAAATTATTAGGCACCTGGCGACACCTTGGAGATGAGGAACATTTTTTTTTTTTTTGAGCTGCTTCTCTAATAACAGAGCCCAGGGACACAGAAAAAGCTGTTCAGGCTTATTGTGATGCTGGAAAAAAGCCCCCTCCTCCCAAGGCTGGCTTAGTCTGTGTCTTTTTTGACTATCTCGTTCTGCAAAGAACAAATCAGGTTGTCTGAATTGACATCCTTAACTCTTGGAGATGGGGAAATATTTTGACAACAACTTAGAAGAAACAAACTACGGTTTTTTGATCAATTCTTTAACAGGCACAACATGTGGTCTTTTACCCAGGTAGCTTCATTTTACCAGCACCTCAAAGCAAGCGCAGCGCATCACAGTTCCACAGATGAGAAAACCAAAACCCTAAGGCGTCTGCCCCAGGTCTACCCAAAAGGTGATGGGGACCCCTGGGGAACTGAAAACAGATGTCCCTTTTCAGGAATCAGTACAGAACTCAGGACAGGGCTCTGCCCTCAAATTGCACGTTGCTGGGTAAAGTCTGTAGAAAAGAGATCTTGCTCCCAAGCTACCAGGTTGTAAGCTCCTGCACCTGGGGGTGACAGAGCCCACAAGATGGTGGCCTCCAGAAAGCAGTCTGCCTTGTGGTGGCCAGAGTCCCTCTGTGCTTCACACCTATTCCTGTGGATTCAAGACAAGAGCCTAGCAGGCCTTCAGCACCCAATCTTCAGAGTCCATGTGTGGCCTGACATCAAAGACAATGAAACAAAAGAGAATGCAAACTATCTCATTAAAAATTGTCCACCTCCGTTCCATGTTGGAGTGGCATTTAAAATAGACTGGTTAAGGAAAGCATCTTATGAAAATGGATTTCACCTGCTTTTCACTTTTCTCAATGTGTCTATGACAGGATTTAAAGATTTGCATCTGGCTCACGTGGTAATTCTGCTTGGCAGCAGCACAAAAATGGATTTTCCAGCCTAGTTATTGTAGATGCCTCTCTGGCATTATTGCTTGCCCTCCCCTCACCCTCTCCGACCTACTTGCTTCAATCCCTCCACTGGAAAAGTAACTGAAGCAGCCTCACAGCTTACCCCTCTGCAGTGCCCTTGTGGAGAACTACCCTGGATTTGTCTTGCGGCTGTTGATTTAGATGTGAACTCTCGCAGGAAGCTGGTCTGTGCCCCATGCCCCTCACTGTCTGGGTCAAGTCCCTTTGGACTTCCCTTAACACTTGTGCTCATCCAGTGATGTCACCCCACATGGAACTTCCTTATCAGCCTTTCCTCAACTTAGTAAATCTCTAGTTGCCATCCACTACAACCAAGACACAAACATATAGTGAACTAAAATTTTTCTAATTATTAGCCCCATTAAGAAATGTCCCAAGACGGGCCTCCCCTGGTGGCACAGTGGTTGAGTGCTGGGCTGCAAAGCTGCCCGCAGCCTCTGCAGCTCTGGTTTGATCCCCAGCGGCCGGCGAGGGCCCCACATGGTGTGACAGACCTTTCCTGCTGTGCCCGCTGCTCCCCTCAGCAGTGTATTTTGTCAGTCTGCCCGTTCTGTTCCTGCTCTGGCTCTGGTGAATCCTCTCACCCTCCGTACTTCTGACTGTGCCCAGTGCTTATATAAATAAATAAATAAATAAATAAATCTTAAAAAAAAAAGTCCAAGACACTGGTGAAATTAATT